TATATGTGATAGCTTGGGTGGTTTTATTTGGAGCTTTTTGGTTAGTGAGACAAGATATCTTAATCTGTTAAGAATTAGATATTCAAGAAGTATGTCCTGATCTTGAATTATATTGGTTATAAGCAAGAAATTTTGTCCTGATCATCCATTACTTCTATTAGGTTTTCTAGGTATTTTAGATGTTTATGGTACTACCTCGACGATATTTTTCAGTGAAATGCAGGAATCATGGTCCTTGACCTTTATTTCATGATTCATGGCCAACATCATTCTATCATGAGTTTCCATGAGTTGGATTAATGTCCTACTCCAAACTCTGTCCAGATTTTCAGAAAATCCATCTCTTGCTTTTTTCAAAATTATATATCACGTCTAGTCAGAAGCTGATCACCAAGTTTACTTGGTTCCCCAGTAGTTCTTTATCACCTAGTAATGATTCCTAATCTCGGAGGTTATGCAGGGTGTTTTCTAATTGCTTTAATAGTTGAGATGAATATGTATTTAGGACTTTGAGCTTGTGATATGCTTTAGCCATAGCAAGAGGAGAGCAGAGTCCATTTCTTCTACCCTTTCTCCTTTATACTCCCCATAGTTCTTTGAATTTTATTGCAGAAGATCTTGAGCTACTTTTGTATAGTAACAAGGATTCAGGATTCACATTCTTGTTGATCAATTAATCATGATATAGAACTTCGTTGAGCACTTCAGTTATGCATCTATACTTTTTCCGTTAGTTGCAGCCTTCATTCAATTTCTTTTGGCAATATTAGCTTCATGTAAGTAGTTTGGCATGAATTTGATTTATCTTGTACTTCTCCTTGGCAGGTACTCACTAACAAAAGCTGTCTGCATTGCTTTTGTATTGACATTCTTCAGTGCCTTTGACGTGCCTGTATTTTGGCCAATTTTATTGTTCTATTGGTTGGTGCTGTTCATTTCAACAATGAAGAGGCAGATAATGCACATGGTCAAATATAAATATGTTCCCTTCACATTTGGCAAGCAGGTACATTTGGTAGTCTTTTTACATGTTCCCTAAGTTGCTTGGACTCCTTTTTGGTGCCACACCCCGTGTCGATACGACATGGGTGTGGGTGCGGGATCCGTACTGGATATGGTCAACTGATTTTGGGTATTTTGACCAAAATCGATGGAGAAATTCGGGACAAATACAATGATTTCTTAAATCAAAATAAAAGCTAGGCTGAAATTGAAGAAATTGGAATACCTTGTATATAGGAATTTCTCTATCAATCCTTTTCCTTTTTATCTCCTTTTGATCAATATTTTCTCCTTCTCGGAATGCATTGTAAGTTCTCCAAATAGTGTATTTGAATTATTTTTAGCCGAATCCTCGCACTCGTATTTGTACTTGGATCCGTACACCTGAATCTTAAAATTTAGATAGATCTGACATCTAGATCTGCACCCGTATCAGACACACCCACCCCAGTCTGAGCAACTTAACATGTTCCAGGCTGCATTATCATTTATCTCTATACTTTTCCTTCAATATGTTGAAAATGATTGGAAAATGCTTCCTTTCTACAGCGCTATGGGAAGAAAAAGCCATCAGCTGATGAGGCCGGTGCTTCCAGACCTTGAGGTTCAAAGCAGATTGAACATTTCATGATGGGGAATCAATTTGTTGTAGGCTATAAATTTGCCGGGATGGCTTTATTTTTCATAGAATAGGTTTCTGAGGTTGGGTATGAGCAATTTATTATATGAATATAAATGAATTCTTAGATTCTAAAACTTAGCTCCCCAAGAAGCTGCCATGTATCTTTATCTTATTCTTTCATTGATAGGTAAGCTAGCCCCTGTAATGTCATTATTCATTTTCTGAGCTCAGTCTACAACCACTCTTATTTAACTCTAGCTTAGTAGCTGCCAAGACGTTGCATATCCCTGTGCTGGAGTTCTTGTAATAATTGTTTGGTTAGAAAATAATCAAAATTTTCTATATCTGCATGTTCACTTTGTTTTTCTTATCAATTACTGCTGCATATTTATGTTTGCCAATTAATCGTCATGCACACTAGAGTAGCGAAGACTTCTCTTTCGAAGGGTGGAATTAGCATCTACTGCCTTGCATATACCATTTCTAGTTTTGATGCACCATTTAGAGATATTTGCCTGATAACTATTAAGCTGCTGGTAAGCATACGATGGAGGTTATGCGAAGGTTGTCATGCTGCGCATATCCATCTGATCATTGAGGGTATCCTGCTGTTCTGGCTTTCTGTGTGTAATGACAGTGAAATCTACCACTTTATGATGCAGCAATTCTCTATACAGCGGAGGGATGGCTCTGCAAAATTATTGGATTTTACTGTAGAGATGAGAATTAATTTTATGTGCACGAATAGTGGCCATCATTTGAGTCTTCTATCCTGAAAGATAAGGGAAAACAGGGCAAGTATTATGGGAGGGATTTGGAGTCTCACAAAGTCGTGTCTTTTTAGATGTTGAATAGTCCCTTTTGCTATCAATTTGTTGTTTTTCTGGTCTTTGGACCTGCCTTCCCTGTAATGTACTGTTCTCACATTGGGGGCTCAGTTGTGTTGTTGCCCTACCATTTATATACTTGGGGGTTGTTGGATTAACTGCCTCTGTATTATTGAACAATTCGTGTTACACTTACCTTTACTCAAGGTCCTCAAACTCCCCCTCACCAAATTGAGCAACTTAATTACAGATAAATATCTGATTTAAACTTGAGATGGTTTGGTTATGCAGGAGTTGCAAATCCAACCGGCTACTATTTGACATGTATCTGTATGGGTAAAAAATTACCTTTGACATGATCAAAGCGTATTATCAGTAAGAAGGCCTCGTGGGCTGCCACGTGTCACCCCTACGACTTTGATAAAGGCTTGCTCAAGGTCGAAGTGGTCTCGAAAACTACAAAGGGTAGAGCCGATGAAGCTATTGAAGATCAAGGTCGAAGAATCAGCGAGGATAAGGGTCGAGGTCGAGCACTCACCGTAGACAGAGTGAATAACGGCTAGTTTTAGGATAAGACATCCAAAGAGAATATTTTAGTGGATATTCTCTGTACCAGTACTATTAGGTTTTTAGGTTTATGTTCCCTATAAATAGAAAAAGACGGACGGAGAAGGGACATAAGATATTCACTTGTAAGAAAACATATTGACTTGATATAGAGAATCTAGCTTTATTGAAAAATAATTTTTTACTAAGATTCTTGCCTAACTTTTCCACTAGATCCAAAAGCAACCCGAATATTTGAAGGCTCCTCAATCATTCATCATTGTCAGAAGGAATATCCACATATCTCACCCATTTTCGGGTGATTCACATGTTCTTATTTACTTAAATGCCATTCATTGATATCTATTGTTATTTAATATGCTATGCTCCTTCTTTTGAGCATTGAATATTGTTAGTGTTGTCTACTTACTATTATTGCCATTCGGACAATATATACATTATCTTACTAAAAAAATCAGTTAACTTATCTTTTGGATATTAATATTGGCTAAGATTGACTCTATTTCATCTAAATTTTGGGTCAAACAGTGTCTAATCCTCTTGGATTGGAGTGTAAAATTGACTATACATGTGGTAGTTTTGCCAGACAGTACTTAACATTATTGCAAAAGGGTGTTTAAAGAAATGTGGTGTCGCTGCAAATGGAGTGTAGAGAGCTTACTGTGTACAATGATGCATACAATGTATGGTTGCATTTAGAAGAGAAAAGAGGTCACTTTCAACCTAGTTCATTATGGATGCAGTGCCACTCAATTCAAAGGATTGGTAGAGGACCACCATTTATTGGTCTCGTGTGATTGGCCAAACTCTATCCAAGTACAAATCTTGGGAATCTTTTGCCCCTCTCTTTGGGGATTACCATTTTGTCCAAAGGTTTTGCTGATTATTGATCAGTAAAGGGATTTCTTTTGTGATCATATATTTACTCAGTTGTCTCTGCCAGTTAAACAGCACTGAACAGAAAATGTACCTGTTCTTTTGAATGGCAATATGTAGGGTTAAGTTTGACTTAACTGCTTATGGGGTTTATCAGTTTAGCATGGCAATATGTAGGGTTAAGTTTGGCTCTGCAAAATTATTGGGTAAGCGAGTATGTTTTGCTAAGTTGCTTTGGAGATTAACTTTACAGGACCACTACAACCACAGACAACCCTCTGACTTTTACTTTCTTTGTTGTTGGAGGTTAACTAAGTCCTTAAGGTTAAGATATTTTGGGCTATGGCAAATTTGGGTAGTTCTCGGTCCTTTTCTATATCACTTGCTTAGCTCTTGACTTGATTATATATAATTAAAATAAAAAGAGGAGCCCGGTGCACTAAGTTCTCACTATGTGCGGGGTCCGGAAAAGAGCCTGACCACAAGGGTTTATTGTACGCAACATTATTCTGCATTTATGCAAGAGGTTGTTTCCACAACTCGATAAGTAAAGGAGAAAAAAATGATATAGCTATCACAAATTAGAAAATGTGAATAAAGTGAACATAAAGTTGTGGGTTTTAAGGGAACATAAAGTCGGTTAAGGATTCATAATTATGAGCTAACTGCTAAAAAGAGTTTGGTTCTACTGCAGAGTCCTCAGGGATAACACACGCATGCTATGCCCTACATGCTAGGCTTGGGCCATGCAAGTTCTGCATGCTAATACACAACTAGTTGCTTTAATTATCCGAAAATGTAACTTTAAAATAGCTTTAACTTCCTCATTTAATCTTTAATCAAAATGAAGGACTCCATTTTCAGCTGTTAGATCGATCATAAGAAAATAACAGAATAACAGTCCTTGCATCCATGGGAGCCTCATATTCTCTGGTACCAAACTCGTTTACTTTTTACAGAAATCATTGATGTCAAAGTCTACTGCTCTCGCCGCCCCCTTCTCCCCCTCCCCCCTCCCAAACATATATATAGTAGCGAAGGAATAAATTTATCCAAGCATGTTCAATCTTGAAAGAAGTGAAAAAATTTCGCTATAAAGGGGGTTCAATATATTTATATATCTCAAAAATGTAATATTTTACCAGCATACGCAGTGTAATTTTTTAAAGAATTGAGCCCCCTTTAAGACTTGTAGCTTAGCCCCTGTAAATATATACATACACACACACATATATATATAAAAGAAAATAGTGGTAAGATATGTCTCAGTTAAATTCATCAGTTTCCTTCACATACCTCCCACAATCATTTGAAGGCAATAATGTTCATCTTCTTCTCTTTTCAGTTTTTATTGTGATTTGAACTAACTCCTGCAGTTACATACGTTCTTTTCTTTCTCTGCCTTAATACCCTGCCATTATCTTGGAAAAATGGAAGGTGGACTTCCCATGCTAAACTGTCTGTTACAGCAAACACTGAGAAGTCTCTGTACTTGCTCTGACTCTTCTTCTAATGTGCCTAATAAGTGGGTCTATGCTGTCTTCTGGAAGATTCTCCCCAGAAATTATCCTCCATCTAAGTAAGCTAAGCACAATAATATACCTGTAAATTAATGAATATTGCTAATTATCTAAGAAAAACATATTATATTGCTGTTTTCTTTTCGCAGATGGGATCATGGAGGAGGCTTGCTTGATCGCGCTAAAGGAAACAAGAGAAACTGGTAATGATATAATACTATGAGTATTTGTTTTATGATTTGTTTGGACTATTTATTTGCATTTCATTTCAGGATTCTTGTTTGGGAAGATGGTTTCTGTGACTTTTATGAATGCGAACGATCCAAAAGGGAATTTGTAAGGATCAAATTTGGTGCTGACATCTTCTTTAAAATGGCTCATGAGGTTTATAATTTTGGTGAAGGGTGAGATTTTGTTTTCCTCTTTTTCACTTTCACTTTATAACAAGAATAAGGTGTCCTCTTAGCAAAGTATTGGACCTTTTTGTTTGTTTTGCAGAGTTGTGGGCAAAGTTGCAGCAGATAATAGTCACAAATGGGTGTTTAAAGATGCCCCAAATGAAAAAGATTCAAGCTTTATTTGCTCATGGAATCTGCCCATTGAACCTGTAAGTAACACTAGTCCTTAAACTTTTGAAAGTATAATATTTGTTTCAACTTTAGTGATTTTTCACATACATATATATATCTATGTTCTGTGTTAAAAATAGTGTTCAATTGAATCCATTATACAATGGCTGCATCCGCGTGTGCTCCCTCAACTGCTTTCTCAATCTTTCTGATTTCTGAATTTGCCTTTTCCCCCCTTATTTGGCAGCAACCAAGAGCCTGGGAAGTTCAGTTCAATTCAGGCATTCAGGTGAAAGTTCAGTCAATGACAAATATATTAGAGTCATTTCAAAGATCTTAATTTAGGAAGTTTTTGTTTTTTTGGCAGACTATTGCAATTATATCTGTTAGGGAAGGAATCATTCAGCTTGGCTCCTTTAATAAGGTTTATCTCTTTACTATGTTGCTCGGACTCTTCGAAAATATCGCCAGGTGCATGCCGGATCCTCCAAAAGTAGTGCAATTTTGGAGGATCTGACACGGGTATTGGAGAGTCCGTGCAACATAGTCTCTTTATTCTTCCTTTTTGGAGGTATTCATATGTTTCACTGACAACTGATTCCACTTATATATAGGTTGTTGAAGATCTTAATTTAGTAGTTAGCATTCAGAGGAAATTCAGCTACCTTCAAAGTATACCAGGAATCTATGCAATTCAAAGACCATTTTTGCCAATGCAACATACATACACTTACAAGCCAAAAGATATCACTCTAGTTAACGAGACGGATAATCAAATGGATGACAATAACCAGCTAATTGGGTCGAAAAGACTTCAGGGTGAACGATTACATGAGTTTCCGGTTAAGGCCATCAACATAGGTTATAATAGCCCACAAGGCATGGCTAGTCTACCTTTATGGTCAATTCCTTCTCTTTTGCCTTCAGTGCCATGTAACCTTGGCTCTCTTCTTTCTAAAGTGCCTGCGCGAGCACCATCTAGTTATGCTAATGCAGTACATGACAGCATTTTTCATGACGGAATTATGAAGACCACTACAAACCAGAACATTAAGGTTGATGGATTAGATCATTTAAAGTTTGAGGTAGCCGAGGAACATGACAAATATTCCTTAGACCATACAATGAGTCGATGATTAATGAGAACGAGAAGAAATTGCGACTTCAACAGGAAAATAAGATAGTTGAAGCACGGCTAAGGAAAGGAGGGGCTGCTCCAAATCCAAACTAATTGCACTTAAATTGGCTCAATCTGCATAGTGTCTCAAGTACATAAGGGGCATTGTATTAAGTATATAGGGACCTGTTGTTGGTTGTTAGCTTAACTTGTTGGTGAAGTACTGAGTACTTTGATTATATGATAATGACATTGTAATCTTTAGCAATTTGTTCTGTGCATATTATTTATTGGATATACATTTTCTGAAAAAACATGTACATACTGTTGGGATTTACTTGTATGTTGACCATAGATTTAGATTTGGATTTTAGTTGTTTTAGACTTGGTAGTTTGATCCACTTTGCTTGTAGCTAAAGGAGGTAGAATAGCAACACAACCGAAGATTGTAATATCAATTGAGCCAAAGAACTAGAGTAAACGAATCGACTCAAACAAAACAACAATAACAACAACCCAGTATAATCCCACAAGTAAGGTCTGGGGAGAGTAGTGTATACGCAGACCTTACACCCTGAAGGTACAAAGACTGTTTCCGGTAGAACCTCGGCTCAAGGAAAATCAACCCAAACATAAAATACAAAAAATCTAGTAAACCACAAAGTAAAAGTTTTCTTACTATTAACTAACCAAAATTATGCCAGAATTGGTGGAACTAACTAAGGGGTTGTTTGGTTTGAATACGGCTTACATCGTGATAAGTTATGCTGGGATTAGTTATCTTGGTATTGCTTTTTAACCACTGTTTGGTATGTTGTATTAAAAGTGACAATTGCATAATTTCTAAGAAGAAGGTATAAGTTATCCGGCACTAATAACCCCACCCTCCACAAGGTATAAGTTATCCTGGTAATTTTACTCCCGGGATAACTTATTCCAGGTTTGCTAACCAAACAAAGTATTAAGGTGGTATTAATTTTTTATACCAACACTATACCTTCTTATACCTCATACCAAACGACCCCTAAACAGTGGCGGATGTACATGGATACTTATGGGTGCTTGAGCACCCATTACTTTTAACTGGATTTAGTAAATTTGCATAGGCAATTATAAAAATAGTTAGATAAATATAGAGTGAGCATCCATAACTAAACTTTTTTTTCCTCTTCTTTCGATTTTTTTATCGGCGAGCACCATCACTTTAAAATTCTGGATCCGCCACTGCCCCTAAATGTGACCGAAGAGTTTAGCATAGAAGGAAAATGTCAATGCATTCTCACTGAATGTGATGATTTTCGTTTTAAAAAAAAAAAAACTGGATATGGTCCTGTGATTGATCAACTTAGTTTGCAAAACAACTCTTTTTACGTAAGACTAAGAGTCATTTTGGACCAGTTGATCAGGTTCTAAAGTAATGTAGGGGAGAAATTATTGCCCTAAAGGAGTTGGCACCTTATGTCCTATTCATGAATTTAGTACATATCACATCACTGGTTAGATCAGCTCGATGTTGATCTCTTGCCCACTTGTTTCCCACTTTTCTAATTGCAAACAAAGTTGTACCAATATTAAAGAAAAATAGGAGCAACACTGGACCAATGTATTCACTAATTCCTTAACACCACCTAACTTCTCTTTTTTGGATTTTAAACTTAATATACAATGACGGTGTAAAGAATTTTTACACTTCTAGTATAGTTTAACATGTGATATAGTTTTTTTAGCAAGATAATATTTATCATTGATATTTACCTGTAACTAAGCCACTAATGCTTTTATTAGGGTAGGTTATCTACATCACACCCTTAGGGATGCAGCCTTTCTTCGGATCCTACGTGGATGCGAGATACTTTGTGCACCGGACTGTCCTTTTATTTACGTGTAATTAAGGGGAGTGTAAAACTTAAACTCACTTTTTTTAATTTGACTCCAACCTCTAACCAAAACAGGAAAAGGCAGAGCAGCACAATTAGTAAAGGCAAGGTTCAAGATTCTACATATAGGAAGTAATTATTGAATAAGAGTGCTAATATTGGAAAGCGAAAGAATGAAAAATTGGCCGACAAAACAAAGAGAGTTTGAGGATCCAAGCTGTAACACAAAGACAGTGGATATCTCATCCGACAGAATGGATGGTTCCTAATCTTGAAATTCTGATATTTTTTCTTTTCAATATTTGAGGACAAGATGCTCTTTTAATTCCAAGAAAATGTGAGTAGTGACTCAGTGGTACGTGTTATACTACATCAAATGGCCCCTATGTTATGAAAACGTTACTCAACTTGGTAATTTAGGCTCAAAATTGTTGGGCTTAAACGGCCCAATGACACTCTTAACATGGTGTGATATTGTCCGTTTTGGGTCAAGCTCGCACGGTTTTCTCCAAAAGGCCTCACACCATTAAGAGATCCCTACACCTTATATGTAGACTCCCAATCTTTTCAGCTACCAATGTGGTACTTTGTTCGCACACCCAACAATCTCCCCCTCGAACTAAGTTCCACGTGGCCCATAACCACATCCACGATCCACTAGCTTCTTCTTGTGTGCGTGCCGCCCCGCACCATCACTCCGCCATCTCCATACTCGTCCCACTGAACCTAGGCTCTAATACCACTTATTGGGCTTAAACGGCCCAATGACACTCTTAACATGGTGTGATATTGTCCGCTTTGGGCCAAGCCCGCACGGTTTTCCCCAAAAGGCCTCACACCATTAAGAGATCCCTACACCTTCTATGTAGACTCCCAATCTTTTCAGCTACTAATGTGGTACTTTGTTCGCACACCCAACTTCCACGTTAAAATTTGATGTTCTTTATCTTCTTTATTTTCGAATTTGCCTCTTCCTCGACATAACACTAGCAAATTTATCCGCACTTCGCGCGGTTGCATAAAACTTATTAGATATACACGATAAACTTAATTATTAATCTTTGGATGTAAGTACGTTAAAGATTCTTTTTAGTTTACGAATCCAAATAGATTAAATTTTAATTTTAAATATTATTATTAAAGGTCGTGAAGACGACATTAGCAATTTACAAAATAGTCTTGTAATTTTAATCGAGATAAAGCAAATAAATATTTGTATACTCAAGCAACATTAGTTCTAAATATTGATTAAATTTATATAAAAATAATTTTACTAGAATTAGAGTTTATAAATGTAAGTTCATATTGATATTACCAAAATCATGTGGTCAAGAAATAAATTTATTATATTAATATATATCGATTACTCAAGACCAATTAATGACCCTTTTATATATCTTTAAATTGTTAATTTTAAGTAGTGGTTTCTACCATTTAAACGATATAATTGCTCCCTTGCAGTAATTATTGTGTCTTTTATCTCTTCCATATTCTATAACGATGATTGTATCACCTACGCTTAGATGAATCTATCTTCTAAAATTTGAGTGATCTATCTCTCTTTTATATTTGACCTTTCAGTTTCTTGATTTATATACGTGTCAATCACAAATGGTAGTTAATTTTTCAAACAAAAGTACACGTGGGCCTTTATTAGTTTTGAATTTATAGGTTACAAACGTTACGACATGATACAACACCTATAGCTTTAGGTAAATAAAATTTATTTCTATTGTAATATTCAGTTTTGAGTTGCATTTTGTGATGACCTGATAGGTCATTTTCAGTTTTAGCCTTTATTTTTGTATTTCGAAATTTCAAATAGCTCTGTTTAGCCTTCTTCGACTTGCGTGCGTAGTCCGTGCCCTTTTTCGGAAAGTTTTTATGAGAAAATTGATGAAAATATAAAATCGTGCTTTAAAACACATTTATGTTGACTTCGGTCAACGTTTTGAACAAACGGATCCGGCTCAGTGTTTTGACGGTCTCGGTGGGTTCGTATCGTAAGTTGGGACTTGGGCGTATGCCCGAAATAAAATTCAGAAGTCCCTAACTTGATTTAACGAATTTTGTTGAAAATTAACAATTTAAAGGTTTAAAGAATTCCTAAGTTTGACCGTAGGTTGATTTTGTTGTTGGTTCAGATTTCGGTTCCGGAACTTGGTATAGGTTCATTTCAGTATTTATAACTTATCTGCAAAATTTGAAGCAAAACGGAGATGATTTGACGTGATTCGGACGTCCGCTTGAAAAATTGAAAGTTCTTAAGTTTCTTTAAAAATTTCATTTGTTGTGGTGTCCGATTCGTAGTTCGAGGTATTATTTTGGTATTTTGATCGCGCGAACGAGTTCGTATGATGTTATTACACTTGTGTGCATGTTTGGTTTGGAGCCCGAGGGGCTTAGGTGAGTTTCGGATAGGCTACAGATTGATTTTTGGACTTTTGAAATAGCTGATGCATCTTATGTTTCTGGTGCGACCTACAGATCTCGCAATTGCGAGATTTGGCTCGCAAATGCGAGCCTCACTTTTGCAAACAATGATTCGCATTTGCGAGCATGGGCTGCGTTAGGAATACTTCGCATTTGCGTGAAATTATTCGCATTTGCAAACTCTGGCTCTTCGCAATTGCGACCACTAACTGACTTGGTACTGCTTCGATTTTGCGAAGTATTGGTTGCATTTGTGATGGAACTGGGTTAGCATTTGTGACCAAAAGTGTCGCAATTGCGAAGGGTTGATCGCTTTTGCGATCATCGCAATTGCGAACTATATGTCGCAATTACGATAACTGCAGCTGAGTAAAAGAGGAAAAAAAGGGGATTTAGTTCATTTCTTTCAAACTCTCAACCATAAACACCCTAGAGGCGATATTTTCAAGAGATTTTCTTCATAAATACATTGGTAACTGACTTTAATCTACTTCTTTTCAATTACCCATTACATTTCATAAGATTTAAACATCAAATCTAGGATCTTCATGATAGATATTTGGGATTTGGGTAGAATTAGAGATTTTTGTGAATTTGGGATTTAGACCTTGAATTGAGGTCAGATTTCGAAACTAATTACATAACCGGGCTCGGGGTTGAATGGATATTCGGATTTTGGTCTGAATTTCGGTTTTGACCAAGCGGGCCCGGGGTTGTCTTTTGTTGACTTTTTCAATAATGACCTAAATTGAACCTCTTTCATTCATGAGTAGTTTCTAAAGCTTATTTTGAATTGTTTGGTCAATAATTTGCTAGACGTGGTTGGTTTGGAGGCTTGTTCAAAAGGCAAGGCCGTGGTTAAACTTTGAGTTGATTGCAGAGTGAGGTAAATGTTGGGTCTAACATTGATTTGAGGGAATTAGGGACCCCTGAACTACATGTTATGTGAATTAGGTGTGAAACGGCGTATATGCGAGGTGACGAGTGCATATGCGCCGTTATAT